GGGGTCTTTTTCCCGAGTCATTACGGAAGAACACACACAAATGAGGGGGATATTAATGACTCCACACAACACATTTTTCAGGATGGCTTCGCCCTTTCGTCAAGCGAGGAGAAAAATTCCCTACTGGAGACGTTCATCTTTCTGCCTGCCCCAGCTCTTTTCTATAGGGAGAGATATATTAAATATCTAGAAATATAGAAATATCCAGAAATAGAGAAATATCCTGCATCTTGCAAAAAAAGGGACGCTGCCCAAAACCTAACACGGCCATTTGCTATTCTGGGGATCTTTTTGTACACCCCAAATTTGGCAGGGTGAGGATGCACACTCAGAGGGACACTTTTTTAAGTAATAAACTACTAGAAACAAATTTTTTAATTTAAAATAAGGTATGTGATGTGGTTGTAAACTGATGGATGGAGAGCAGAAGCACCACATCCTCATCGCTGGGACACCCGACCGCGGCACAGAAGGTTCCTGATGGAGCCCATGGTCACCTCGTTAGATGGGACCAGCTGTAAGCCCATTAAAAATATATTAATTAGTGTTCCATCAATCTCTGCCATGAAGAATTTGTGTCAGCTTTAAAGACAACCCCGCCATCCCTTGCTTTTTCACGTGGAATTTCATTCCATTATTTAATGGCCCTTTTAATTTTGACACTTGTAGAAGAAACGTACGGTTAAAAGAGATGGTGGTTCAAATTTTGGTTGTGTCTCTTCAACGTTCCCCGTGCAGTAACTTGGAAGAATATTTCCTCCAGGGAAAAACTCATAGAAAAAAACCCAACAAAACCATCAAAACCAGTTGACTAACTGCTGATGCAAGTGCTTTAATGCAGTCCCCATGGTAGTTTTCGCCGTTATTTGTCTTCACGAGGAAATTCAGGTGCAACCAGTCAGTGATAAAATGAGAAAAAGAAAGGATAGAAATGCTCACCCGCCGTAATCACCAAAAATAAATGAAACTCTGAAATGAGTAAGGGTTTCTCAGGTTCGATGCTCCGACCTCTAATGGGAATTGAAAATAATTCCCAAAGTATTTAGTCGGGGATGGATTTGGGTGACCAGAGTCAAGGTGAGAAGGGGACCCTCTGGCTGCTGCAAAATGCTCCACTCAGTGATAAAACCACCCCAAAACTTTGCATTTGCTTGAAAATCATAGAATCATTGAGGTTGGAAGAGACCCTTGGGATCATCGAGTCCAACCATTTACCCTACTCTACTAAGTCCTCCCCTACACCATATCCCTCAGTACCGCATCTAAACATCCCATTTTCAGGCCATTGGGGTGAGGAGCACGGCTCGTCCCCACCTTGGGGGACACCACGGGGGGGTCAGATTGGTTGGATAGCACATGAGAGGGGAGACATATGGGGTGGCAGCTGGGCTTCTCTTAAGTAGGTACCACAATAGTGTCCTACCAAAGGAAGATCACAGAATCACAGAATCTTAGTGGTTGGAAGGGACCTCTGAGATCATTGAGTCCAACCACAAAAAAAAAAAAAACAAAACCAAACAACAAACAAACAAAAAAAACCACACAAAAACACACCACACTACACCAAACACCCACCAAAAACACCGCACCCACCAACTAAACCCCACACTCAACACCTCACCATAAACCAATAACCTTGGGCACTAGAGCATGCCCTGAAGAGCCATGTCTATACGTTTCTTAAATCCCTCCAGGGATGGTGACTCCACCACCTCCCTGGGCAGGCTGTTCCAGGGCCTGACCACTCTCTCAGTAAAGTAATTCTTTCTAATATCTAATCTAAATCTCCCTTGCTGCAACGTCAGACCATTTCCTCTGGTCTTGTCGTTCGTCCTTTGGGAGAAGAGGCCAACCCCTGCCTCTCTACACCCTCCTTTCAGGGAGTTGTAGAGGGCAATGAGGGCTCCCCTCAGCCTCCTCTTCTCCAAACTAAACATGCCCAGTTCCCTCAGCCTCTCCTCATAGGACTTGTTCTCCAGGCCCCTCACCAGCTTGGTGGCTCGGGAATTAATTACTCCTCATAAAGCCCTTAAAGATGCTGGGGGAGAAGTTGAGGCATCAACGCTCAATGAACTGGAAGGGAGATGATAAAAGGTGGGTTTATGAGGCTGAAGTGATGCCGTTGAGTTTCTTTGGGGGCCACCACGATGCTTTCCTATTCATCTTCTCCTTCTCCAACCCAAGACGTGCATCGGGGAGACACAGATTTAGGAGGAAACCAGTTTGAATTCCAAAAAGGACTGGGAGAACGACGTGAGCTTTCAAAGCTCCGATGGCCGATTTCAATCCTCCTCGGGGGAAAGGATGCATTTCCTTTATTCCCTCCAACCAAGCTGCTTTAGCAGCATCTCGAGGAGCCAAAATAATAACTCCCCACGTCTCCCCACGCGGGATGAAAAGATTAGACATGGCTTAAGCAGCCAGGGATTTAAATCCCCCCCGATAATACCCTAGTGAAATTATATACCATAAAGGCAGAGAAAAAAAAAAAAAAGGGGTTGGCGTTTACTAAGAAAAAAAAGAAGAGGGGGAGGATGTTAATCTGGGGACAAAAAAACCTTCCTATAAAATCCAGCCCCATACATTCGGGATGATTATTTCAAAAAGCTGGAACTTGTTCCGTTGATCTTTTAAACTGATTACTGAGCAAATGTATGCACTTTTCGAAACCGGCGCTGACAGACATGAATTTCAGATGTCTTTTTTCATCAGCTTTTTTTTTTTCCCTTCTTCTTCTTCTTCTTTTTTAACAATGCCACATTGCATAATACTTCTGATATTTTCAAATAATGTGGAAATTCAATTTCTGGGCAGCCGTGTAATTTATTGTACAATAGTTACAGCTTGTTCTAAAAGACAGCCGCGGAGAAGCCGACTGCCTCCCAGGGCAGGAGAGAAGGCTTTCAAAAATGATAAGATAATTTGGTCAACAGGAATCAAAAAAAAAAAAAAAAAAAAGAAAGAAAAAAGGGAAAAGAAAAATGGAAAGCAATATTTTTTCTCCACGCTCAAACTTAAGAGAAATCTTGAAGTTATTAAAATAGGAGAGATAGTCCCGATGTCTACGGAGCGGGGTAGCAGCAGGGGGTAGCGGTGGCTGCTCGTCACTGGGGCTTTGTGAGGGTATTTTCTAGATTAAAATGTTATTTTACTTCTATTAAAAATATAAATATGTCATGTATATAAAATAAAAACATACAGAGAAGTGAGTATATGCACCTTTGTGCCTGTGTGTCTATGTAGAGGTAAATTACTAATAGATAAATGATGCTGATGCTTAGTCTCTTAATACCTTACTTTGAAAAGGCTCAAGATTTTATGAATAAAGTCATTTTTATGAATTATTGCCCCAGAAAAGGGCAATGCTTGTGTTGCCTGCAATCTCAGAGCAGGAATTGAAGATGTAGCTAAAAGGCAAGGCCATCCAGAAAAAAGAGCATTACGCGTTTTGGGGTGATATTTCACCAAAATCACTCCTCCTGGGGGTTTGGGAAGCGATGACAGGGAATAAAATTCACGTTTTGTGATAAAACCAAGCTCTAAACATGAAACCACAGAATAATCTCAGTTGAAAGGTCCTTTTTCCCCACGTTCCCAACATCCTGTGCCTGCTCAGGGGACGCTGCGGATGCTCCCAATGGCCCCAAGAGACACCTTTCCTGGGGCTCAGCTTAAGCTGAAAAAGGAATTAAACGGTTCAAAAGCCACCTCCGGAGGCTCAGCTTATCCCAGGATTTCTTTCCAAGCTCTTTTTTCCCTCTCCACCCTTCGTGGAGAACCCTTCCCACCTCCTCTACCAGCTCCCAGCACCGAGTCACCTGCGGCAAAATGAGTCAAGAAAAAGGCATTTCAGGGTTTCCCCAGCGCGGCCGTTATCGTCACGCAACGAGGGGTTTTAAGAACAAATAATTGCCTTTCGGTTAAATTTCTGTCCCTGGCCATGTGTGACGACGAAAAACAGTTTCTGTGCTTCTGGTGAGTGTTCAATTTTTCCACCTTATTACAGAAAAGGAGCAGATTCTGGCAGGGGCTTATTATTTAAAAGCAGCTCAGCATCCCATCGTCACCCCTGCAGCTCACCAGTGCACTCCAGTGCCCACCAGTCCCATTTTTAGGGCCAGTTCTGCCAAAAAAAATTCAATTTTTCCATAGAAGGGCTCCAATAATGTCTCAATCCCCTCTCTGCAATGAAACTGCAATAGGAACAAACTCAACCAGAAGAAATTTCTCTTCTTTCTGGACAACAGACATGTGCAAATACTTGTGATAAAACCTACCCAAAGGTTCTACCTGCTCCAAAATAAATCCTCCAAAGATTTCTAAAACACACTTATGCTACACAGTAGCTAATAGAAAAGATTTGGTTTTAAATATCAATAAGCTAAAATGAAAAGATTTGGTTTTTAACACCATGAAGCCAAATAGAAAATATTTGGGCTTAAATACCAAGACGCCAAAAAGAAAATATTTGGGTTTAAATACCAACAAGCCAAATAGAAAATATTTGGGTTTAAATACCAAGACACTAAAAAGAAAATATTTGGGTTTAAATACCAACAAGCCAAATAGAAAATATTTGGGTTTAAACACCAAGAAGCCAAAACGTTTACTCCAGTGGCAAGTTTTTGTTGCTTTCAGTAAGTTTATCGTGTTTCCTGGCAAAAAAACCCAACGTCATATGTATCTTACCATAGATTTTGGTGTCACTTACGCTGTCACGTGATAGAAAATGGGATGGGTGAGCATCAAAATCAAGACACCAAGTACCAAAATGCAGCTGTTGAGCAGCTGGATGGATGCTCTGCCACAAACAGCCCAACCCAAGGAAAGTTCTATTCACCAAGCACAAGGAGTGGGGCATCTTTTTGAAGAGGACCTCCATGAAAACCTCCAACCAAAGCCCTAGGAGCACCACGGAGCCGCGGTTGGTGGCTACAGCTCACGTTGCCACCCTTGCCAAGCCCACCCAAGTCCCCTGCCCCGAGGTTGGGCACACTCACGCTCCGGTTGGGTGGCCACCTTGACCGGTTGCGAGCTCTCTCCTGGGCCCCACTCGTTGTAGGCCACCACTCGGAAGGTGTAGGTCTCCTCCGGCTTCAGGTTGCCCACGGTGAGTTGAAGGAGCCCGGCTTGAGATGTGTTGACAGCCCGTTCCCTAAAAAAAAAAAGAAAAAAAAAACATTTTTTAACACATTTAGATTTTATTTATGCAGCTGCCAGCCTGGATGGTATGATCACTTCTCAAACTTCACTTTGCTTGTTTGTCTATAGTTTTTTTTTTTTTATTTTTCTCTTAAAAAGCCTAATTCAGGTAATGGGCCCCACTGGGAATGCTGCAAGCACGACAAAAAAAGACATGTATTTTAACACTTCATAAGGCATAGGGAGTATTGGTTCTTTGCTTTTCTTATTTTAACAAAAAAAAAGGAAGAATTGATGGAAAGAAATGGCTATTTAGGAAAAGAACACATTCCTGATAAAGAAAATGAGATGCATCTGGGACTGGAAACATCCAGCTGATGAAAACTGGGGTTTGATGAGAAGGTTTCTCCTTCTGCCCAACCTGGCCAGCAATTTGCCATCACCGAGCCACCAGTTGCTCCCAGTAGCAAGTCCCGGTGGTCTCCAGATGGCCCAGATGGTGGGAGGTGGCAGCCCCTGGCCAGAGGGACACACCAGGACACCATCCTCCCATCAGGGCAAGAGCCATCTAGATTTTCCTGGCACCGTGAGCACCCAGAGATGAAGGGGTGGAAGAAAACGAGTGGTGAGAAGAGATCCAGACCCAGAGTCACTAATGAGGGATTATCCAGGAAAACCACAATCCCTAAACACCAAAGCAGGGTTGAAATTGGATGAAAACAGTCATTTCATGGACAATCTGCAAACACAAGTAGGTAAAGTTGCTTTTCTAACTGATTTATTATGGACGGTGTTCCTCGCTCTGCTTTACCAGAAGCTCTCTGAAAAGCCAACAACAACAATAATGTGCATTTCATGCTGCAGAGAAACCATCATTTGAGACCAAATCGACTAATTGTCTGACTTTTCATAGCGCCGCTGCGATTCAAGGGGTGCAACGGGCAGGGAAGCAATCCAAGGAATGGAGATTATTTTTCCTTGGGGGAACGTTCCCTCAAAATGAGATTTTTCAGCCCAAAGAACGGTTCCAGCCTTCTCAGCACCAGGCTCCACCATCGCTCCAGCCCTCCCAGGATTGACTGCTCAAAGCTTGGGCGAACGTTCCCTGGGGAGAACGTTCCCTGGGTTGGATGGTCCCTCAGCAGAGACAACTGGAGCTTAATGTCTCTATTCCCAAGTTGCTAAACCACTATCCATCATATTTGAGAAGTCATGGCAGGAGAAGCTGTGGCTGCCCCATCCCTGGAGGTGTCCAAAGCCAGGTTGGACAGGGCTTTGAGCAACCCGGTCTGGTGGGAGGTGTCCCTGCTCAAGGGCAGGGGGTTGGAATTAGATGGTTTTTAAGACCCATTCCAACTCAAACCATTCCAGGATTCTATGGAAAACAACCCCAGTGCCAGTGTTAGGTTGATGGTTGGCCTCATGGATGATACAAAAGGTCCCTTCCCCACCTGCAGGTTGACAAGACCGGTGGCCACTCTATCTCAATAGATACACCTTTTTTTTTAACATCAAAGAAGCAACAAGCCCACCTTCCAATCCCAAAATAGCAATAAAGAAGTAAGAGAAGCCAAAAGTAATAAAAGAAAACTGCATGAAGTGACATCCTTCTCCCTCGAGCTCCAGTGACACACACTCAGGGTGAAGTTAGATGAGATGAGTGTCACCAACATCTCAAAGTCCACCGTGAGCTCCTTCCTGCCCTACCAGTGAGGGGTTGACGCGCTACGAGATGCTACATGACAGCAGGAATCATCTAAAAAGCACCAAACATCCTTAAAATGGGCACCTTTACATTGGGGGGTTAATTTTGCAAACCCATCTTGGTCGTAAATTACCCTCTAAAAATAAAAGACCTTGACTAAAGTCATCCACTTTCTCGTAAAACCGAGGCTTCGACATGTAATTTCCAGTGACTGAAGATCATGTTACATTCTGGTATCAGCATGTTTAAAAAAAAAAAAAAAAAAGATAATTACAGTTCCCATATATCTCTTAGGTGTGTAACAAATGCTTTTATAATGTTTCAACCACCTAATTAGTTCCTTCAAGTAAGACAAGTGGCGTTAATGCTCCTTGCTGTGAAATGAGCGCTATTAATTTGGAAATGGACGGACTTTTACTACCTGCAGCTCCTTTTTTTTCATCTCCCGTTCTTGTTTAATCAAATATAAGGGGTTTGTATGCCATTAAGTAGCCCCTCGATTCATTTCTTCAGTCTGCAACACATGAGAAGATCTTGTTGTGACCATCTATGTGTGCATTAATTTTCTTATTGAAAACAAGTTCTAGTGAACGTTCAACTAAAAATAAAATTGGTCCCAATCCTGTAAGAGAAACCTTCAAAGGGTTTTACGTTCAGATGAACAACATCATTTCCAGGGGCATTTCCTACTCTTTTTTGTTTTTTTAAAATCAAAGCATTTAATACCCTTTATTGGGAAAAATGTTTGCTAAAAATTGAGTAAAAAACCAGAAGGGTAGCTACAAATCAGGACTCACCGGAGAGCAGCTCTGAGGAAAAAGATCTGGGAGTCCTGGTGGACAACAGGATGACCATGAGCCAGCAATGGGCCCTGGGGGCCAAGAAGGCCAATGGCATCACACTCATCCTCAAGAACAGTGTGAGCAGCAGGTGGAGGGAGGTCATCCTGCCCCTCTGCTCTGCCCTGGGGAGGCCCCAGCTGGAGCACCGGGTCCAGTTCTGGGCTCCCCAGTTCCAGAAGGAGAGGGAACTGCTGGAGAGGGGACAGCAGAGGGCTACAAAGATGCTGAGGGGCCTGGAGCATCTCTCTGCTGAGGAAAGGCTGAGGGACTTGGGGCTTTTGAGTCTGGAGAAGAGAAGGCTGAGGGGGGATCTGATCAAGGCCTAGAAATACTTGAAGGGTGGGTGTCAGGAGGATGGGGCCAGACTCTTCTCAGTGGTGCCCAGGGACAGGACAAGAGGGAATGGGCACAAACTTGAATGTAAGAAGTTCCACCTCAACATGAGGAAGAACCTCTTTCATTTGGGAGTGACAGAGCCCTGGGAGAGGCTGCCCAGAGAGGTGGTGGAGTCTCCTTCTCTGGAGACATTCCAACCCCACCTGGACACGTTCCTGTGGGACCTGCTCTGGGTGGACCTCCTTTGGCAGATGGCTGGAGGAGATGATCTCCAGAGGTCCCTTCCAACCCCATAGCATTCTGTGATTGAAGCCAACTTGACATTTCAAAGGTTGCCATCAAAAACCCAACTGTATTTTAGGGCGTTGCGTCTCATCTAAAATGCTAAACAGAAATACACTACCATCTAAATATTTCTCATTATTTCTCAATCAACACAGTGTTATTTTTTTCATTGTAAATTAAATTTTAAATCGAGCGATGTAAATTCTCACTGGGAAGGCAGAATTCATTTAAAACTACGTCCAGGTAATTAAATATACCTTGAGATTCCATTCGAGGAATTATGGTGTTTTTTTTTCTTTAGATGTAAATCAAGAGCAAATCAGGAAAAATAAACAATGTCTCTTCCCTTGTGGTGACTAAGATGCTGCTGCAGAAATATCAAAAACCTTTGTGCATCGACGCTCGCTCGTCCAGAAACAACCCAGAAGAGGGAACAAACGGCGAGGCCGAGAGCAAATCCCAACATCAAAATCCCATCGAAATTGGAACCTGCCAAAATTGGACCAAAATATCCCATTTGGCCCATTCTGCCCACGCTCAGACTGAAATAAATCACTACTTTAAAGCAGTTTGTAATTAAAAGTGGGCGACATCCAGCCATGAAGGCTGTTGGTTCCGAAGGGGTTTAAAGATCCATTGCAGTTTGTAATTAAAAGTGGGCGACATCCAACCACGAAGGCTGTTGGTTCCGAAGGGGTTTGAAGATCCATCGAAACCACACGCATCGTGTTCTACTATTATATTCCACTATATTTTAAGAGAAAAGATGCACAATCAAACGTGTACTCGGAGTCACGTCTCTCCTAAGAGACCCTAGAGATGAAATCCTCTATTTCTGCTCATTTTGCTCACCAACAGCCTGCTATTACCTGTAAATTTTCTCAACTCGCTTCAAAATCCAAACTTTTATCTAACTCATCCCCGAGCGCGGGGCTCATCGCTTGGCTCTTTATTTATTTCCTGATGGATCGAAGGTTTGTTTTATCCTTTTTTTTTTATTATTATTCTGAGCAAGTTGCCTTTTACCTTTAAGTGCTCTCTGCCATTGCCCTCACCGGGGAGCGAGGCCGTTTGATCCCACGTCGGGATGTGGAGCCGAGCACCAAGATTAAAGAGCATCCCAGCAGAAGGGCTCCGGTCATTACGCCACGGAGAAAAGCACAATCCCTTCCAAAAAGGCTTTCTTTGAAAAGGATGAGCTGCAAAAAAACCCTTGTGAAAAGGTTCAAAACACGGGAGGTTGTTTTTCCAGACGGTCCCCAAAGTGGCCACATGTTCTGTGTCCTGTGAGTCCTCTTCCCCGCTCCCCAACCCAGGAAAATCACCTTCTTCCAGACTTTAAATCATTTCTCTGACAATTCCTTTGCATCCCTGAGGTCGATATCGAAACCAATATTTATTATTATTTCTTTTCTAACCAGAAAAACAGCTCTTTGGTAAAAATAACACATAAACAACAAACGACTCCAAAATTCCACGGAAGCTTTTTCCTTGTAGGAAATCTCCATGAATTTTATCTCCTGCTCTTTGGGAAAGTTTACAAACCTTAAAGTTTTAAACCACAAGTGGCATTTTGAGTCTCTTGCCGGAGGGAGCAGAGTGGGATTTTAATTTTATCTTCTCTATTTCATTGTTTAGTTACTTTAAGAGAAAGCCCACGGTTTTGTGCAGGAGACTCTTTAAGAAGGTGTGTTGGGAACGGGCCTCAGGCCTCCTCCTGGGACCCAGGACTTTGAGAGGCATCACAGAAATTCTGGAAGAAGAAGTATTTATAAAAATTCCCTTCCACTTTAAATCTCAGAAACCCCACTATTTAAAAGCCTCATATCATCATTTTCTCCTCAAAATGAAAAAGCTGAGTTAGAACATGACTCCCCCAGTTGTATCTATAAACATAAGGAGATGAGAACTCCAGACCACTGTCCCATCTTCCTCACTCCACTCCCATCACAGAACGGTCTATGTTGGAAGGGATTTAAGAGAAAGCCCACGGTTTTCTGCAGGAGACTCTTTAAGAAGGTGTGTTGGGAACGGGCCTCAGGCCTCCTCCTGGGACCCAGGACTTTGAGAGGCATCACAGAAATTCTGGAAGAAGAAGTATTTATAAAAATTCCCTTCCACTTTAAATCTCAGAAACCCCACTATTTAAAAGCCTCATATCATCATTTTCTCCTCAAAATGAAAAAGCTGAGTTAGAACATGACTCCCCCAGTTGTATCTATAAACATAAGGAGATGAGAACTCCAGACCACTGTCCCATCTTCCTCACTCCGCTCCCATCATAGAACGGTCTACGTTGGAAGGGACTTTTCAGATCATCAAGTCCAACCATCAACCCAACACTGACATAAACCACCACTAACCCATGTCCCTCAGCACCACGTCTGCCCGGCTTTTAAATCCCTCCAGGGATGGGGACTCCACCACTGCCCTGGGCAGCCTCTTCCAAGGATTTACAACTCTTTGGGTGAAGAAACGGCTATGCAACACTGACCAAACCACCACTAACCCATGTCCCTCAGCACCACATCTGCCCGGCTTTTAAATCCCTCCAGGGATGGTGACTCCACCACTGCCCTGGGCAGCCTGTTCTAAGGATTTACAACTTTTTGAGTGAAGAAATGGCTATATGGCTATAAAAGAAAGCTGGACATTGTTGGAGATGAAGATGAGAAGCTTGTGAATGTCCAGGCAGGGGCAGGAAATGTTGCCTGAAAGACCAAGCCTTTTCCTATGAGGGATAAGCCCATGCTGAGGGAAAAGGGAGCTCAATTTTATAGAGTCACAGATGGAAATGTTGCCTGAAAGACCAAGCCTTTTCATACGAAGGATAAGCTCATACTGAGGCAAAAGGGAGCTCAATTTCATAGTCACAGAACACTTTGGGTTGGACAGGACCCTAAAGACCATCCAGTTCCAACCCCCGGCAGGGACACCTCCCACCACACCAGGTGGCTCCAAGCCCCCTCCAACCTGGCCTTGAAACCCTCCAGGGATGGGGCAGCCCCAGCTTCTCTGGGCAACCCAGGTCAGGCTCTCACCACCCTCACAGCAAAGAAGTTCTTCCCCACATCTCATCTCCATCTCCCCTCTTGGTAATTATGGGGTTCCACCTCCTTTAGCCCTCATGAAGCCAACACACGTCCGCTCATTTCTCAATTGGCTACAGGTTCCTACTGAAGTCCCCTCAGAAACTGAGCTACCACCAGCTGGGGAGCTGAAGTGCATCAGGAGTGCAGTGAAACACAGGCCAGGCCACTTCAAGTTTTTCATGACAGAGGAGAAAAAAACTCAGTTTTTTCTCCACAGGCCAGGCCACTTCAAGTTTTTCATGATGAAGAGGAGAAAAAACCCTAGTTTTTTCTGAGGCATAAAACCATTTATGAAGTTAGGAAAATAAAACCAACCCCAAGTAAATAGGCAGTACCTTCTGGAGTGTGAAATGACCGCATACGATGAGGAATCGCGCAAACATGGATCAATCTATAGTGCCATTATCACAAATGATCTATCTGCTGCGCGGCTCTAATCCACGTGGCCGACAAAGCCCAGGCCAGGACATTATATTTCCAATCACGTAAAATCTCCACAACCCCCTCCCTGGCTGTTTTTAAGGTCTCAAACCATTTGTGCTGCTCTAAAAGCCGTCCTTCTCTCCAGTTGATTAGGGCTCAACGTATTCACCTCCGCCGGAGATGCGAAGAACACTTGAGCTTGTGTCTTCAGAGGAAGATAAAAGGGAAAATATGGAGCTAACAATACTTTATTTTATGTTAGATGGCTGAGTAATAGCTGGAGGAGATAAGATCAGTAGACATCACTATCAACAAGAACAGTCCTTCACATCAAGACAATGAGCGCTGTTATGGAAACGTTGACGTGATGTCCACAAAAATACACCCAACAAAAGGCATTTTAGCTTCACACTTACCATGGGGAGAAGACCACAAGGTGGAGAACCATTTGCAAGACACTCGTAAAGACCTCAAGCCCTCTTAGGACCATTCCCCATCCGAAGAAGACCCATGGGATGTTTGACACCTACCTGTTGACGCCATCCCTGGAGAAGAAGACCGTGTACGTCTGGACGCTGCCTCTGGGTTCTGCGGGTGGGCGCCAGCTGAGACGGACAAATCGGCTGGAGACCAAAACAGGGACCACATCTCGGGGGGCAGAGGGGAGGACACTGGAACTTGGGACAGCTGGAGGGGAAGGAGAGGAGTCAGTCAGAGAGGCCGGTGGCCCGGGGGTGGAGGAACGGGTGGGAGGTGCCGTGGTGGCCACGGCTGAGACGTTGTGGAACAAAGGGCCAAGGAAACATGGAAGAAGCATGAATGAAGCAAAAGGGGGTGAAAAAGAGAGAGAAAAAAAAAAACTAACAGTAAAATCACAACTTAAAATACACCATCCTCTAAAATGAAGACCAACACTCAAAGCTCCAGTTGGCAACTTCCTTGAGATAATTGGGAATGATTTCTCATCTCAATGTGATACGTTCCTTCGTTGACTCTTATTTCACTAGTTTTGCCTCTTCTAACCTCATAAACAAGCAATAATTTACCACTCAAAGCCCACAAACCCACTGGTCTGGGAAGAGCAGAAACCAAGGAGGGTGCTCCAGCATGGGACTTGGTAGATCATTGCACCCAAGTGGGACACAATGAAAAGGGAAAACAGGGAGACTTAATATTAACACCACGGAGAAGTGTTTGGTCAACATGGAAAATCCAGAAATGGCTACAGCGCAGTTTCAAGCAGTAAAATTCATTTTAGAAGAGCATCTCTTTACCAAGTTCAAGGGTTTGGTTGCTGTCCACCAAGTCCACGTGAAAGCTGGCCCATCAACATAAATTAAAAGATAATATTTGTTTTTAAACCATAATTTAAGGGATCAGATGCCTCCTGATTCAGCACATACACCTGATGGAGCAGCCATCAGTCACTCAACCTTCTTGGGGGGAAAAAATGACGTAGAAGGTCCAATTTCAAGGGTGACACTAGCCCTGAAAACCAGGTTTTCACCGCTGGCATCCAACCAAAAAAGCCAATTTCCGTTTTTAATTACTGCAAATCTTTTTGGCCGGCCCCCGCGAACTGTATTAGTAGCGTTAATTTACTGTGAGCTCGTTAAGCGCGTTGTATTATCTAACCAGCCTATGAAGAACAGCTTTACGTACAACGCGTGACGTTGACTGAATGCCAGCTTAGCATCTTCTTCTATCGGCCCTAAATTACTATTAAAAGCCATTAATATCGCTATTATTAATAACAAATATTATCGCCTCTCGTTTATTGCCATCAATCCCAAGCCAGAGGGAATTAAGGAATTTCCCCAGTGGTGTTTCCAGAGTAATGATGTGTTGAAAGAAAATATTAAAAGCCCGAGTCTCGGCGCTTTCGGTTGCCGTGTCGGGCTCCGTTATTTGCCCTGGGATCACGCTCAGCGTCCTTAGTCACGGGCCACCGAGCTAAATAATGTGCAAACACCAGGCTAAAGTCTTAATTTTGTGTACATTTATATGACAACGACGTGACTGTTTCGCTTCATGGACAGAGCGAGGAGATTTGGGCTCCTGGTCTAGTCTATATGTTGTATTAAAAGCACATTGTCTTCTTCTGCGGCTGAAGGTAGGTGAACATCTGCAGGGAAGACCTGCAGGGCTTTTCTGGTTGAGTTCTGGTACTTAAATCTAACACAACAATTCAGAAACCTCCCTGTTATTAACTATTTTGGCACTTGAGGGTCTGTAGAGACTCCCAAAACCCTCTGGTTTGTGGTTCCTCCACCAAACATCCATCCTCCTGGTGGACACGTTGTCCAACCTGCCACCTCTCTGCCATCAAAACCCGTTGGGTGTTTAGAAACTGGTGTGCTGATGAGCCCCACGTGCAGACATGTACATTTGAGTGACTACGTATATATGGGTGTCTAAGGTCCATAGAGGATGGGTGACTACGTATATATGGGTGTCTAAGGTCCCCCCATAGAGGATGAGAACATAGAATCATAGAATGGTTGGAGTTGGAAAAGACCTTAAAGATCAAGTTCCAACTCCCCTGCCATGGACAGGGACACCTCCCACCAGACCAGGCTGGATGGGGCTTTGAGAAACCTGACCTTGAACGCTTTCAGCCACAACTTCCCTGGGCAACATCCACCCAATACACATGATGGAACCCAAAGATTTACTCAAACAACCCAACAGCGGCACCTACCTTTCAAGTATCTAACACCTGGAGGTGAATCCATACTCTTTGTGTCCTCATCCCCGTGGACACAGCGGGGTTGACCCTTTAGGATGAACTTATGAAAAATAACAGCGAAAAACTGAGGTGAAAAGCAGCAAGATCGGGACTGGAGCTCTGGTCCACCAAGAGTGGTTTTTTTCTCTGGCTTCCAGTAAATTCTGAAGAGCTTTCGCTGACAAAAGCAATTTGGCTGTCATTGTTGCCGGCACTGAAGAGCAAAACATATACGGTACAATAGGACAATATAGAGAGACATAGAACCTGAAATTATCCCAGCAAGAGATGGTTGAAATCCTTCAATCTTTCATATACGACGACGCGAGATCAATCCACCGCTGCTTAAACCGTCGGCGTCGGGGTCTGACAGGGGTTGATTTTAGCCTGATGTGCTTTAGATTAACTCTCTCTTGTGGTGACAGGAACCAACATCCCCCTCCCTACAAAGCCAGCATAAAACTGGGACTGGTGGGTTCATTTTCCAAGCAAAACAGATCCCATCGACCTCCAAACTCAACCCCCTCTGTTAGTTTTAATCCAGAATCAGCCGTAAGTTTTGGGACCGCGTTGTTAATTTACCAGCAGGACCCATCTTCGAACTCCTAAAGCGAAATTTTCTTCAAAAATATAAGCTTGATGGAGGTCTTCAGACCTACTTGTTCCCAGCCTGTGTTGTCACAGAATCATAGAATCACCCAGGCCAGAAGGGACCTCCAAAGGCCATCTAGTCCGACCCCCCCGCAGTCAGCAGGGACACCCCCAACTAGACCAGGTTGCCCAGGGCCTGCTCGAGCCTCTCCTTGAGTATCTCCAGGGAAGGGGCCTCAACCACCTCCCTGGGCAACCTGTTCCAGTGCTCCACCACCCTCACAGTGAAGAACCCTCTCCTCATCTCCAGTCTAAAGCTGTTCCCCTCCAGCTTGAAGCCATTGCCCCTCGTCCTGTCACTGCAGGCCTTTCTAAACAGGTTCTCCCCAACCTTCCTGTAGGCTCCCTTCAGGTACTGGAAGGCTGCTATTAGGTCTCCCCGGAGCCTCCTCTTCTCCAGGCTGAACAACGCCAGCTCCCTCAGCAAGTCCTCGGAGCAGAGGTGCTCCATCCCCCTGATCATCCTCGTGGCCCTCCTCTGGACCCTCTCCATCAGGTCCATGTCCTTCTTATGTTGAGGGCTCCAGACCTGCACGCAATACTCCAGGTGAGGTCTCACCAGAGCAGAGTAAAGTGGAAGAATCACCTCTCTGGACCTGGTCATGTTAAGACCAGTTATACACCAGGCACAAGATCAACAATTTATGGGATTTTAAACCAATTAAAGGCAAAACATCACGACTGACATCCCAGTTCACCACCGCTTCCCATACACAGCAATCATGGGCTGTTCATAACTGAAAATAACAGGAATATGAGACCTATCTCAAAAAGACAGGGGTTTTAAAATGTTTTTCTCTAGGTTGGCTTGGTTGTGGGGGGAGTTTTTTGGTTCTTTTTTAACATATATATTCATTTCTGCAGGCAGGTAGGGAGGAGAAGCTATTAGCCACATCTTTCTACCCTTTAAATGGTATTTTTAGAGACCAGGAAAAGCTTCTGTTCAATATACAAGAAGAGATGATGAAGGAATGAATGAAAAAAAACCAACACCAACCCTCGGAATTATATCCCATAAGGGATTTGGTATGGAGAAAATATAATATTGTTATTGCAGAGGTGGTAAAAGATGGCATGGGTTTATTTCTGAGCATCTCCTGGTAAAAGACAAGGGTACACATCCTCTTAAATCCAAGTTAGAAAACATCTCATGTTCTTACTTGATTGCTCAGAATATATATATATATATATGTATATACACATATATATGTACACACACACTGACTTCAGCACAGGTTTGGCCCCTCCATCCAAAAAATAATGAATTTTCTTTTTTTTTTCTTTTTTTTTTTACATATTTACCAGTTGACGGAACTCGAAAAAAAATAAATTAAAGAACGTTTAAGGAAAGAAGTTATACATTTGAGATGAAAACTAAGTTGAGAAGTCACTGTTATATATATATATATATATATATGTATATACACATATATATGTACACACACTGACTTCAGCACAGATTTGGCCCCTCCATCCAAAAAATAATGAATTTTCTTTTTTTTCTTTTTTTTTTACATATTTAAAAGTTGACAGAACTCAAAAAAAATAAATTAAAGAACGTTTAAGGAAAGAAGTTATACATTTGAGATGAAAACTAAGTTGAGAAGTCACTGTACATACAGAAAACGCTGGTTTTAGATGCCAGCAATAGAGATCTAAAAGCTCTGCTGGAATTCTGCGTTGAGGACCAAGTCCCGGGATGGATCAAAATGAATTTAACTTTTCTGCATTTAAAGCAACTCACATTTCCATGTTTTAGACTTGCATTTAATTCACAACGAACACTGAAACCTGTTCTGCACGTACCACCTGCCACACGCCCAAATGAAAAAATATACTCATTTTTCAGGGGGGATAAATTAATACAAAAGGAGATTGGACTATATGTAGGAGCTGCCTGTATCTCAGAGAAAGTGGTTCATCTTCACGACACTATCAATTTAATTTTTTTTTTTTTTAATTAGAACCTCACCTAGAGGAAGACCATTCAAGCAATTGCCACCGTTTTACACTTAAAGCCTGTTAAAATAAGAGCATCTCCTACAGGCTACCTGTGATTTTAAAATACTGTCAATTAGATAAGATTGGAAACTCGATACCATTTCAGCAAAAAAGGAGAAAACTATCACACTTTGAATCTTCCACCTCCTGCAAATCACACCTTCCCTAAATATCCCACACCCTCCGAGGCCAGAATGACATTTCGAGACATTAAATGAACATTTTCAGCCAAGACACTACCTTAAAATTATTTTTTTCATGCCTTGTAACAATTATTTCAATTCCTTGATTTTTTTTTTTAATATAT